CTCTCACTCTGAGGCTCTTTCTCTGCCTCCTTCAGTATCTTGCAGTCTCTGGCTCCTGATTTCTTTCAAGTCCTCATCCCCGTCCCCCCTCTGTCCTCCTCAGACCTTGGTGTGTCCTCAGCCACCACAGCCGTTGAACTGGGTCTGTTTACAGTCCTGTGCTTGCCTTCCCACCCCCCACCCCCACCACCAAGGCTGCACGCCACCTGCAAGCGGGGGCTGCGTCCCATCTACCTCTGAGTCCTCAGGGCCTAGCACGGGACCTGACGCCTAGTAGGATGTTAATAAAGGTTTGTCGAATGCACTTGACCCCACTTTTTCACTCTTGTCACTTGTTTCTCTGTCCCTTTCACCATGTCCCCTACTTCCTGAGACACTAGGGTTCCTTTTCTTCGGGTCTCTGTGGTTATTTCTCTTCCTTTATCTAGATCCCCTAATATGGAACTTTGACTTGCTCTTCATAAAGACCTTGGTTCGTTCCTTATCCTGTCCCTGGAAACCGCCCTGCCTCCTTGCCAAGATATGTTTGGGATTATTTCCGATTCTTCGCTACTTGGATTCTGCGTCAACCTCCCCGTTCCCTCTTGTCCCTCAAATTTGAACTCACCCTTGCCTCAAGCGAGTCAGATTCTCCCTACCTCTACCCTTCCTCTTCTCTTCTCCCTCATTCCCAGACTGGACCCCGGCCTCGCAGCCTTCCCGGCTTAGCTCTGCCCTCTCCAAATCCAGCCAGGCCCACTTTGGTCCCGCCCCAAGCCACGCCTTCTTGTAGACTCGCCCCGCCCACAGCCAGAAGCCTCTCTGCTTAGCCCCGCCCCAGATGCAGGCAGTGCTCCTATCAGAGGCCGCCCTGCCCGCCCCGCCCCTCCCACCACACCTCTGTGTACCCAGAGTGCCTACCTGCCGGGTACCTCTCATTGACTGGCCAGCTGTCCACCTGCAGGGTGGCATTGCCACCGCTTCGAGTGAAGCGCACCACGTGGTATTTGCCGTCGCTCACGATGGCGTTGGGCTCATCGATGGTAATGTCATCCGTGCCCACATTAAAGATCACCCCCACGGTGCCCTGGTCCTGAGGACAGGAAGGTCGAGGTCAGCGACCAGGAAGGAGCAACCCTTTAACTCCTTCTAGAATTCTACCTGTGACCACCACCGGCCCAGCTCCACAGCACTTCACAACTTTACGCGGCACCTCTCCCCCGGTCAGGCCTTTATTGGACCCTCTCACTTGCCCAAAGAGGTGAGTAGGCTCACCCCTCCCTCATATGCAGGCAAGGGAGAAACCCGAGGCTCAGAGAGGTCAGGGAAGCCATGTAGGGTGCAAAGCCTGCACCCAGAGCACTTCCACTAACCACACTTGCCTCTTGCCTTTGGTTTGTTCAGAATATTCACAAATTTTTACAGGGCTCCTACTCTGTTCAAGGGCCACTGAGCCCAGGCCTCAGACCGGGTGACCAGGACCACGCTGGGGACCAGTGGGAGCACAGAGGGCAGAGGTCTCCCTAAGGTACAACCAACAAAGAATTCCCCAGAAGCCCACTCCGTGTCTGGGGAAGGTCTAACCTCTGCTCTCCCCACCATCCCCTGGGTGCTCCCCACCATTCCCTGGGTGCTGCCCACCAACCCCGGCCTCCTGTCCCCTGCGTGCTCAGCACTGAGCAGGTCCCTTGGGGGCTCCCGCACCAGGGCATCAGCCCACCTCCCCTGGCGGCTCCTCTGGCCCCGTGTAGCTCAGACCTGAGTGTGGGGAAGGAGTTGGGGAGCGTCTGAACTGCATGTTTTAGAGGGTGACGGGTATGGAAAGAGATCAGGGAGACAAGCCATGTTGGACTTAGTAAGGAAAGGTGAGCATGGGTGTGTAGGGTAGAGGATGGGGCTGGGAGCTGGAAAGAGACAGCAGGGGACAGAGTGTGACACAGGCCTAGAGAAGGGAAGTAGTCAGTGTGAGCAAACTCTCGGACCCAGGCCCCAGGTTCCACACAGGACCTGTAGCGAGAACCCTGCAGAGGCCACCCAGGATCCAGGCCAGGAAGTTACACTGATGGTGCCAGAATGAGAAGGAGAACTTCACTGAACCCCTAAAACATGCCAGGCCCCCTCAGGTACTATACAAGCAGGTTTTCTTCATCCCCACAGCAACCCTCTGAGAAAGCTTACAGCATCCCCATTTTATTGAGGAGGAAACTGAGGCTCAGTGAGGTTAAGGGACATCCCCAAATCTCACAGCTCATATAAAAGGAACTCCAGATTTGAACCGTAGTTGGTCTGACTCCAAAGCCAGCGTTCTCTCGCCCTTACCCACTAGTCTGGGGAGACACTGACTCAAATCGCTGGGTGTGGGCAGGTGACGTAAGAGGCTACTGAGGCCAACCGACCTATGAAACCGAAGATGTCTGAAGAAGTCAGAGGAAGGCCCACGAGGCTCTAAACCAGGCCCCTATTCCATTCCCCTGCCCTTCCCAGCAGCCCTCCTAATAAACTCAGCCCCCCGTGTCCCCACACCTCCTCCCACACAAGGCAGACACTGGCACAGGTTCCCTCAGGCCCCTGAACACACAGTCACAGGGACCCAGATCGTCCAGAACACATTGCACTCCTGGGGTCTTCCTGAAAGACTGCTCTCACCTGGCCCGAGCATGAGGAACCATTCAGCTGCCACCTCCTGCGTCCAGTGGCACTAGGGGTGGGGACAGGGTAGCTCACAGATGGGGCAGGGATTGGGATTTCGAGTTAGGGGGCAGGCGTGCCGCCGTGGCTCGCTTGGAAACCGATGCCCTAGCCCTTCCCCACTTGCGAGTCCAGTTCTCCCCCAACTAGAATCTGGGAAAGGCCGCCCTCCCCCCCACACCCCCACGCACACGCACACAGTCATCCGTGCTGCAGCATCTCTCCTTCTCAGATGCAGTAGAGCAGGGAAACTGAGGCTGGGCTCACCTAAGAAAAGGTACTAGCAAGCCCCACCCATCTACCTCCCACAACTGACAACATCCCGGGGAGATCATCTGCTCCCACGCACGTGAGGGGAACGGCGATGCTCCCCGGTACTATTGTTAGTGATAGCATCACCCAGAATAGCGCCAGCCCCTTGGCCGCCTCCGAGGGTTTCTCCCCACGAGGCTCAGCTGGGCAGTGAAGGCGGTCAAGGAGCAGATGCAGCCGGGGAGCCGGGCGGGCAGAGGGCCAGCCGGGGCGGCTGGGAGACAGGACACCTGGGTTTCCTAGGAGGCAGCAGAGCTCAGAGCCGTGCACTCCGGGGGAGAGGCAGCTCCCCAGAGCTGCTCCCGACGTGAAGTCAGTTGTCACTTCTGTTAAAGTCATTAATTCCTAATTCCCCAATTACCTCATTAGGCGGCGGTGGGGAGAACGCGGCCGCTCCTACAGCAAATAATTATGGGAGTCAAAATTAATTTGGCAAAGTGGAGCGACGCTTTATTAGAAACGTCAAATTGCTTTTTTCTTATTTTGCTGCCGCCTCCCCACTCTCTGAGAGCTGCTAATGACGCTGCGGTGGGAGCTGATGTGTCACCAGGGGAGGAGGGGGCTCGGGGCTGCCCCCAAGGGGCTGCAGCCCATCTGGTGCCAACTCTCCCCTAACAGCTGTCCTGTCTCGTGGCTCCCACACTTCCTCCAGGGCCCCCCACCCTAATCGGGCACCCCCTCCTCCCTGCCCTCTGCAGCACTAGGTGCCAGGCCTTCTTCCTCCATAATCCTGCACCAGGCGAGGCCTGTGGGCACCTCTGGGAGAGGAAAGAAGGCGCCCTCTTCTCCCTGCATCCTGATCCCCCTGTACTCTCTCCTTAGCACTAGGGGAACCCTGTCCCCTAAACCGACAGGCGCAGAGACGCACAGATCGACATTAGCTAACACGGGGTATCAGCTGACACCGAGTGCTTCCTAAGGGCCGGGGGGTGTCATAAGTGCTTTATACACATCATCTCATTTTAACCTCCCAGCATCCCCCCTGTCCACCACGCCACTACGCACATGAGGAAACAGCCTGGAGAGGTGGGGTGACTTCACAAAGACAGAGGAAGGAAGTGGCAGAGTTGGGACCCAAACCCTGGCCCCCTGTTCCAAAGCCATGCGTAGCCCCTCGTGACTGGGGAGCGAGAACAGGAGCCCTCGCTCACGGGGCGGGGGGGGGACGACACGGGAACACAGTCCCACGTGGCCCTCATGGTCGGGAGACGGAAACAATAGCAAACACCCCTCTGCGGGAAACACGAATACAGAGCGACACGCCTGACCCGAGGCCACAAGACACCGCCTCTCTCGTTACCCGCCATGGGCCCCCGCAGTCACACCATAACTCCCGACACAGTCACCCCGGCCCACACTGTCACTCAGGGATTCGTGCTATCTGCAGCCTCGCTGTCTCCTAGAAGACACTCCGTCCGTCTCGCTCGCACGGGCGCGGAACGCCTGGGCCCTCTCCCCAGGCTACTCTCCCCCCCGCTCCCTGCCCGTTCTCCGCCGCCCTTACACTCCAGCTCCGCTCCGTCCACGAGACACCTCTCCTCACACCTCCTTCCTTCACTCCCTGGTGCTGGGGGAACGGTGTACCCTAAAAAGCTGTTGTGTAAGGTGGGGCCGGTAGCCACAGTCCCGATCGGATGGGGAAGTGTCGGAGCCCAAACCAGCCTTCTCCTCTGGCTTCCTTGCTCCCTTCAAAGCCCAGGGACCCCTACCCAGACCTTTCCAGCACACAGAGCCTGGCCAGCCTGCTCAGCCCTCCCAGCTCAGGGGCCCTGGCCAGGGTCAGCAGGATGCAGGCAGGGAAAGGAGGCAGCTGTAAAGGGCTGTACGGGTGGAAACAGAGATTGAGGTCAGAGGCCCAGGTGTTAAAACTACGGGAAGGGGACAGAGGAGAGGCTAAGAGCACAAATGAGAAGGAGCAAAGCCAGAGGACAGGACCAGAGATGGGAAAAGGGCCGAGGAAGAAAAGGGGCTGCCTGAAGACGAGATTAAGGATAAAAACTGAGGAGAGGAGCCGCAGGTCTGGCAGGAGGCCCAGAGGAAGGCTCTGGGCAGGAACGGAGGCTGAGGAAGCGAACAGGCCCACGGAGGAGCTGGGCAGAGGAAGGCAGAGCTGGGTGAGACCTGAGGTCAGGGTGGGGATGCGGAGCTGGGCCGAGAGGTCAGAGAATAGTGAGCGCAGCCAGAAAGGCTGTAGGGTCAGAGGGCGGCTGGGAGGGCAGAGGTCATGGAAACAGAGATCAAGGACGGGGAAGAGGCAGGGGCAGGGTCTGAAGGCAAGGTGAAGAAGCAGGGATGGGCCGCCCGGAGGCAGGGAAGTCTAAGGAGGGGGCAGGAACAGGTGCAGAACACAGCGGGCTGCCCTAGGCCGTCCTGGAGTGAGCGGGCAGCGGCCCAGGGCAGTCATGCACGTGGGGACATTTCTGAAGGCTGCAGAATGGCCTGGAACACTCAGGGAGACCCTTGACTTCATTCAGAAAGGTCAGAAGACACAGACGGTCTCAAGGAGCGGGGAATGGGGGAGCTTCAAATCAGCAGGGTGACTCTTATGAAGCCTTATGAAGAACGGGTCTCAGGAGCAGAACTGCCAAGAGGAAACCCCAGGAATTGGGGAACAGAGGTTGTGGGGGTTCCACACAGGGAAAGATCGGAGGTACCGGATCCCTCGGCAATGAAGGAACTGACTGATTTGGGGTCGGAAGACAGGGCAGTCTGGGGCCGGGGCCCGGGGTCCTTACGATGTGCAGCTGCAGGTAGTCCCCGAGGCCGGAGGCGCTGTCCACCCGCACCAGCACGGCACTCCGCTGGTGCGTGCTGAAGCCCACGGCCAGGCGGTCCATCCTCGTGCTGGGCCGGTCATTGGGGGGCCACGTGTAGGTGATGAGTGCTCCCCCCTTCCCAAAGATGTACGTGGTCCCGGCTGCAGAGAGAAGGAAAGGGAGAAAGAGATGAGACATCAGGAGGTCAAGATCAGCAGGTCCTCGGCGCTGGGACAAGAGCCCTGGGTGCGGGGCTTTAGCTGGGAGGCCCACGGCAGCCACCGGGCCCCGCCATGCTGGGAAAAATGGCCAGGTGGGTGCCCAGGTGAAAGCCTGTGCACGCGCACCGACAGACGCAGCTGCCTCAACAGGAATTCTGGTTTTAATTACAGCAAAACAGAGACGTAACAGAGAGAGTGACCCAGAGATTGAGCCCAGAGAGAGGCTGCAAGGGGACCAAGAGGATCCTGCTGGGGTCAGGCAGGATCCGAGCGCCCTAGGCCTGATCGTCTGGACTTCTCCCAGGGCTGGCAGAGGTGACAGATCCAAGGTGTGTGCTTCTGTGGGGCCAGAGCTGCGCAGGGACCAAGGCGAAAGCAGCCCCAGGCGATGGCAGGAGGAGGAGCAGGGGCTGGTTCAGCTCTGACTCAGCCCACAGGTTGGCACCCCTCCAACACCTGCCCCCGCCCCTCCCAGGCCTCTGGAAATTACAGTCCCAGTTTCCCCAGGGCTCTCTGCTTCCACTCCCAACTAGGAGGCTGCCTTGGTCCCAAAACAGGGGGATCCTATAGCCCTGCCCAGAAAAGAACAGGTAGACATGGAGTGGTGGGGGGATTGAGATTGACAGCCAGAGGAGGAAGGAGGCAGAGACAGATGGACAGAGAGGGACAGAGAGAGGTGTAGGTGAGAGAAAGCAGGAGAGTGGGAGCCAGAGATGAAGGCTCCCTCTCCCTGCCCTCCCCCACCCCACCCTCTCTCCCCCTGTCTCCTCTTCTCCATCCGGCTTCCGGGGGCGGGTGTGAGGTCCCTAACGATCTCAGCCCCAAAATAAACCCCATTAGTCTCCATGTTCCCTCCTGCGGCTCACTAGGCTCCCTGGGGGCGGGGGGGCAGACTGATGGCTGGGGTGGGGGTGGAGGGCTGGTCACCCAGTTTCCAGGAAGGGAGGCTTGTTTAGAGGCCTAGAGGACCAGTACTCCGGGGCCTTCAGAGAAGGGAAGAGAACAATCTTGCATTCTTTGGAACATAAATGGGAGATGAGATTCATAAAGTGCTTAATTGAATAATTAGCCATAACGACTCCTCTCAAAGCACTTTTTTGGGGGAGAGTGTTCAGGGGAGGACTTATCCAGAGAGGAAGAGAGAGGCAGATGGGGCCTGGGAGCAAAAGCCTGGAGGAGGCCGGGAGAAAAGTGGGGCCTCGAAGGTGGGGCAGCTCGGGGTGGGGTGGAAACCTGGGGTCAGGGAGCTGGGAACCTGAGGGGGAGGGGAGGAGCACCTCAGGGGTCTCTCCCCTCGGGGGCTCACAAGTCCTGCTGTAGTTCGGGCAGTGTAGTTCAAGGATGGGGGCTCTAGCTCAGGAAGCTCCCAGGCCCCCAAAAGAGGGGACTCCTGAGAGCCCTGGAAGGAAGCACTGTCTGCAGACGCAGGGAGGAGCCAAGGGGAGAAGGACGTCGCCTGGATCCTGGAGTGGCCGTGAGGCCAGCAGAGGGCTGGGCTTAGGGGGAGCAGAAGCTATTCCCCAGAGCTCCTGTCATCTATGCCCTCCATCTCCCCGGGAAGGGCCAGAGCAGAGAGATGATCCCCCCGGGCCGGGCAAAGGTGAAAGAACCGCCTGGATGTCTAATAACTGACATCTGACATCTGGCCACAGTGCAAAAGCACCTCCGGCAGACAGGGGGAGCTTGGCTCTGCCCAGCGCAGACCCAGGTGTCTTCCTACCTGGGGCCCCCCCATAAGGCCCAGTGCCGAGGGCTGAGCCAGGATTAGGGTGGAAAGTTGGATGGGGGTGGGGTTAGCAGTGAGCACTCCCCCACCAGGGGTGGGCCACCTGCCTGGAAAGGGCGGGGCCTGAAGGCCAGGAGCAGGGTAGGCCTCAGCTGGTAGCAGTCTCTCCACTCCCAACACTGCAGCACTCTGAAAAATCGGCTGTTTCCATGGCAACTGTAATATCCAGGGTCCTCCCTTCCCCCTCCACTCACTCACAAACTACATGGCCAAATTTGGGGGGGTGGGATATCTAGTCCCAATGTATTGCTGTTTTAAAAATCAGTTGCTTACTAAGTAATTTGTACATCCAGGGTCCTCCCTTCCCCCTCCACTCACTCACAAACTACATGGCCAAATTTGGGGGGGGTGGGGAGGGCCAGGGGAGCTAAGATGCTGACCTTCCTCCACGCAGCCCCCTCCCTGCCTTCCTGACCACAGGCTGCTGCCTCTTCGCCCCCTGGGCTCCAGGGCCTCCCAGTCAGACAGAGAAGGGGCTATTGGATTTCCTGGTCACTCAGACCGGCAAAGTAAATGTCATCTACCTGGGGCCTGTCCCAAACCTCCCAGGTCTCGGGGAGAGGAGGCCCTTTCTCTTCACTTTCCCACCCAGGAACCCAGACAACAGCACATCGCCCTACAGAGAGCCCAGCCCAAGCCCGGGGAGGGCCTGAGATGCAGGCCGGCGAGATGCCCCATTGGGCAGCGAGGCCCCAGGGATCAGAGGCGTCGGCGGCGGCGCCCCACGCCCCACGGCACACACATCCCCAGTGACGCTCCCACAAGCCCCACACCGGCGCACAGGAGACGACGCACCCAGCTGCACACAAAGGCCCAGTGTGGAGAAGCAGGCACCCCGAGAGGAGATGCCAAGCGGCCGGGAAACATGGCGGTAAGCGCACGGAGACAGGCCGTGCGGGCGGCGAGGGCAGGGCCTGGCCCGCACCGGCCAGGACGGAGCGCACGTCCCCGCCCCCAAGGCCCAGTGCGCACGGGCTGCCCGCCCCTGCCGCCCCTTCCCCAGCCCGGGCCCTGCTCAGCCAGGCCTCCTCCGGGATTGATTATCCAGCTGTTCTCACACTGCAGCCAGTTTATTACGCGGGGCGGGCCTGTGAAAGCCTAAGGGCGTTTATTACTCTGTGGGGGGTTCGGGCGGAGAGACACTTCTTGGGCCGCAGAGGTGGAAGATGGATGGTTTATTGGACTGGGGCGGCGGTAATTACCCTGAGGAGACGTTTCTCTCCCCGGCCCCGCGCGGCCGCCAGAGGGCGCCGAGGGATGGGTGGGGAGCACAGCGGGCGGGGGGCGGGGCTCCGCCAAGTCCCTCCCAGGTCGGCCCCTCCCCAGATGGGCGCCCGCGAAGCTGTGCTCTGCCCTGGCTGCCCTACTCCTAGGGGAGGGCAGAGACAGGGAGCCCAGGCCTCTAAACCACATCTGTAACCTCTGAAAGGTTCCAGAAAGGGCTCGGGTGGCGTAGAGAGGGACCTAAGCCAAAGCCCAGAACGCTGCCCTAGGGCGGTCCAGACCGAGTTTTTTGACCTTCCCAGGAAAACGCTAGTGAGCCACATTGTGCATAACATTTCGGGGGGGTGAGGGAGGTTTGCACACCTCCGAAGCCCAAGAGAAGAGATCTCTGGCCCACCAACCAGAGGCCCAGGGCTGGCACCCAATACAGTTCGCTCGGTGCCTCCTAGACCCAGAAATTCACCGATCCAGTAAAACACTCCAAATGACCAAGAATCTTCCATACAGTTTCCACACACCTGCATTCTAGAAAGAACCAACCAACCATTAATAATAGTTAGCGAACCCAGACCCAAACAACATAATCATCCCACGTAAACACCCCATGGGGAAAGGCCCCTGTGGTGAAAACTATGAGGGCAGACCCTCCCTCTGCCCAGCTCCCTGCAGCATCAGAAGCCATGACAAAAATCTTCTGGTAGATCTAGAATCATGAGAGGATAAAATGTCCCACGCGATCTAGAAAAGCTGCGCTCCTCGGTGTCCGCAGCCCACCCCAGCTCTGGTACACAGACCCTCGCAACCGGGAAGGGTCTCCACAGATCCGATGCCTGGGCTCAGCTCTCTCCTGATCTAGAATCCCAGAACAGTATCCCCTCAATTCATAAGCCCGTGCTTGGCCGTGAACCATTCAGGTAGAAATCCAAGTTAGTACACCCACATCCAGAATCGAAATAAATGCCAGCCCCCTTTATAACCTGGAGGGATGAATCCAGAACCCCTGGAAGCTACTGACCCAGAACTGAGCTGGGATTGGCTTTGGAGGGTACCAGAAATAAAGGTCGAGGGCCGAAAAGCTCCTCAAGAACTCTCAAACCAAAATCGGGGTCGAGGACCAGGAGAGTGTCACCATCTCAGGCCATTTTTAGGACCCAGGTGTACTGATCTGCCTGTGCCCAGACCAACATCAAGTACAGGAGTGTCATGGGGGTCTGGTGAGTTGGTAGGGATATTATGTAACAGGACATTACGGGGGATGGAAGGGTAAATGGAAGGAAGAGTGAAGAGAAGGAGAGAAGGAAGGCAAGGAAAAAGGCAGCGAGACCCCAAGAAAAGGGGAGTAGAGGAGCAGGGGCAGAAAGACAGGCTCCCTCACACTGGAGGGTGCTAGGGAGATGTTGGGGCAGAGGAAAGGTCTCCCCAGACTTAGGAAGGTCTCCCACGCTGGCCTCACCCTCTAGCCGAGGATCTCAAGAGAAGCGTGTCCTTTCGCCTCCCCCGGTGGCCAAGGTGAGCGGAGGTAGGGTTCAGCCATGACAGGTGGCTTTCTCCCCACTCTTCTATCTGACCCTTCTCCTTCCTCTCCACCTCCGCTCAGTCTCCCACCATCACTGTCCTGAGCACCCTCCAGCTCCTCCTCTGCTTCTATGTGGCACTGGGCAGCCATTGGCGCTCTGGGGGCAGTTTTTCTCTCCTCTGCCCAGCAAGGGGGTGGCCATCTCCGAGGCAATCCCAACACACGCGTTCCATAAGTGCCCCCTTTCCTCCATTTTCTTTCCCTCCCACCCAGCTCGTAATGACCCAACCATGGCTCCTCCACCGAGCCTTCCTCTGGCACTCCAGCGCCCAGGCCCCTCCTTCCAATCTGCTCATCTTCCGGGGCCAGCGCCTCTCTCCTTTCCCGCCCCCTTTCACCAGCTCTCCTCCTCAC